AGGGAGAGGGAGAGGGAGAGGGAGAGGGAGAAAGAGAGAGAGAGAGAGAGAGAGAGAGAGAGAGAGAGAGAGAGAGAGAGAGAGAGAGAGAGAGAGAGAGAGAGAGAGAGAGAGAGAGAGAGAGAGAGAGAGAGAGAGAGAGAGAGAAAAAGAGAGAATATTTTACAACTCAAATTTCTGTAATGCTAATGTCAAACAATTAACGTCTAGACTGATTTTGTTATTAATAGATAAGTGAAACAAAACCGATATGTCCCAGGTAGCAAAGTGATGACGTTAAATGACGTAATAATTGCGTCTTAATGACGTCTCTAACGTCAATAAAACGTCATTAAACCATTTTTAGACGTCATCCTGCCATCTGGGGTTATACAATCAAGTTAGAGAGAAACGCTATTTTATCATAATTGTTCTACTCCAGCTTTAGTTAGAGACTACTGTTTTAAGTCCATTTGTAACGGTCGTGGCGCGGCGCATAGTTTGCTATAATATGGAAATGTACATAAATTCACACAAATAATATTATTAAGTAGCCAAGATCCTGTCGTGACTGTAAACTAAAGAACCGTTGATTGTTGGCTAATAGAAATTTTTATTAATTATTAATTATCTATATATGTAATATGTGGATGGAAGATTTGTGTCGTCCTATATAAATTTTATTAAATAGAGCTTTAATTTGAATACTAAGTGAAACGAACTGGCTAATTAGAGTCAAGAGTTATTTAAGGATGTTCTGGCGCTAACTTTCTAACAAAAATTTAGCTAAATTTAGTCGTAAAATATGGACAACTAATATTTTTGCAGCAAGAGCTATATTTTTTGCAGCGAGAGTTATAGTTTAGCAATAGTAGCAAAACTTTCTGTTTTCGTTGCAAAAATGTTACTCTCATTACAAAAAATGTTAGTTATCCATATATTAGGACTATTTTAGCTATAGCAGCTAATCTTTTTTTTTCGTGTGCAATATCTTGAAAATTTAATGTATTGTTTTTATTTATTATCCGTACACGTATGCAAAACCTGAAATCAATTCTCTAACCGGTTTATGAATTATTTTCAACTTTTAATTTTGTATGAGTTTTTATATGGAATGGCAGCATCTCATTTATGTAAACAAAATTATAAAAAAGCACCATTGGCAATATTCTGAAACTTTGTGAGTAAATAAAATACTGAGCAACATTTCTAAAAAAGTTGATATTAATTCACTAACGTGTTCTCAAGTTATTAATGAAAAAGCAATGCAAAATTTCGAAAATAGGTTATGATACACAGGGCTAGAAAAGTAAATATTATGTCAATAACATTTTCTCACACATCTTATGCGTTTTTAAGTATTATCCAATGTCTGTATACATAAAATATTACTAATATACGTAACGTTTTGTCGTTCCTTACAATTTGTTTCAGATAAAATTCACGTCTAAAAGTTTTTTTACTGACAATCACAAAATTTGCAAAATGTGCAAATATATTAATTTGTAGTGCCAAATATTATATTAATTAGCATTATTTAAATCCTTTACACGATACAAGCACATATCATGTACTTAACTCACAAAAGCATATATAGAATTTCAACCAATTTTAAATTAAAATAACTTTTTGTCTGGGATTATAGTATTTTATAGTGTAGCTAGAACAACCTTAATTTGAATACTTATAAGAACTATATGGCCGGCATTCATAATCAGATCTTATTTCAAAACCGTCTTAAGTAATGTTTTAAGATGCTAATTTTCATTGGCTGGACGGAGTCTTGAGACTACCTTTGACCGGATTTAAGACGATTTTAAATATAAGATCTGACTATGAATACCAGCCTACGTATAAATAATACATTTTATATATGGGGCATTCCATGCGAAGTGATCCAGCCCAAAAAAAATGTTTTTTTTTATTGTGCTGAAAGCACAATCTATTGCCCTATTGACCATAATTATCCACACCAATTTTTTAGACATTTGTCCAACGCGTTGTCTACTTACAAGGGTTTAAAGTTTCAGCGTTGAGGCCGTCATGTTAAACTTCACACATCGATAATTTGTCGTAAACATTACCGATTGTAAATAATGACCAGTGATTTTTCAAGTATTTTTTACACCCTTTCGAGATATATTATGCATTATTAATAAAAAAGGTTAATTAATTGATATTTTTCAACATTAATAATAAATTCAAATTTTTCTTTAAGATCGGCATCTTTGATTTTAATAAAAAAAAATGCCAAAAAAAAGAAGAAAATGTCAACAAAAAAGTATAGGAAGTCCAAGATGGAGAAATCACTCCTTAGTAAGTTACAATTCATTCTGTGTGCGAACTCATGATCCGTGCCGCCGGCGGGGCGGAATTTGAAAAAAAATCGGAATATCTAAAATTTTAAATTTTTTGAAAGAGTCGTACTTAATGACTTTTTCTGTTTAGATTTTCTTAATCAACCAAATCTTAAAGTATTATATATGAAATAAGGGTAGAAAAAACTGAGGAATATAATAGAATTCAAAAAATTGCTAATAATAAAGGAGTTACCGATTTCTGTCTTAAAAAATCTATGTGATTGCTCTGATTTCCGCAATTTCTTTTTATGGATAGAGTAAGGGAGACCGGGGCTAAGCCGACAGCGGGGCGAACTTGACACTAGGCTTTTTGCCAATTTAAATCTATCGTAGAAACTTGCCTTTGCTACTGTAAATGCGTCTTTATGTGCCAGTATTATCAACAGAATTTGGTAACATTCTAAGTTATAGTGTAATTTTTAACGCGACATAAGTGTTTTTGATAGTGAAAAATAATTTTTCTGATCTCTTGAAAATGTCTACTCTTTCATCGAGCTTTACTCTTGCGAATCTACCGCTAAGTGATTTTGATGGGAAATTCGATGCTTTATACGAATCCAATAATAATTTTTGCATATTTTCAAAATTTATATATTTTTGGAGTAACAAAAGTAAAAAACGACGTTCGGGGCTAAGTCGACACGACGCCACCGGGGCAAAGACGACACTAACCTAAAGTGACATTATCGCAAAAAAGGTCACTGTTTTGTCCGATTCCGATGACGATTTAAGGAACATCTGTTGCGTGTGTTCGGAAAACATTTCATTAGCTTCTAATAACAAACAATGCATCTTATGCAACCGTATGGCTCATGACGAATGTGTGCGCACATCTGATCGCGAGTTTACGTGTATAAATTGTTTTTCAGACAGTTCAGAAAAAGATAATTAAAAGTTTAATCTTTTTTTTCTCATTATTTTAAATAATTGTTTACTTTATTCCGACTTTTTGTTTCTAATACACATTGTCTTTTCATTTGATAAACAATGTATTTTTATTTTTAAACAATAAAAAAATAAGTTCCAGATCAAATTGTGTCGATCAAACAAAGTGTTGAGTTTGCTCCGGCGGGGTGTCGAGTTCGCCCCGTCATTTTTCAATTCGAAAATTTGTCTTCGCGTCACTTTTCCTTTCCTGGCAGCAAAACAAAGCGACGTACAGCAAAACTTCCTGAATCAATTTTGTACCTGAAGAAACACTCTTTAAATATATATCATTGAATTTGCTTAAAAATTTTAATTAAATATTAAAAATTGCCCTTGAAAAAATAGTGTCGGCTTAGCCCCGGTCTCCCCTATATTAAAAGTAGATTGGTATTGAATTTGGCGAGAATCGGTGAAAGGGTTTCCGATTTTTGCCTTACCGATTTCTAATTTTTGTCTTACCGATTTCTGCATAAAAAGTGTATAAGTTATACATGTATTTAGTGAGAATCGGTGAAAGGGTTTCC